AAAAAAAAAAAAGAAAAAAAAGATCTGGCGCACACACACCTGCGCCCAACGTGAGGTTAAGCCACCGGGTCCGGAACTTGAACCGTGGTTAGCTACATGGGAGTCCAGTGACATAACCATTATGCTAACTGCTGGTCCCATGTCTAATATTTTTCAAGCTGACAGGTCTGGGACTTGAACCGCATAGTCTGTTCCAGTGGGATCCAACTGCCTTAACCACCAGGACATAGGTTGGCCTGAGGTCAAGTTCACTTGTAAGTTAAGCTAAAGCCTGGCCTGCATTCCACCAAAGTGCAATCCCTAGCCATTGCCTGTGTGGTGTTTAGACCTAAAAGAGGAAAGCTTACGCTCAAACTTGACACCAGTCACCAAGTTCTGATGGGCAGGTATGGTGTAGATGCAGCGTCGCTGTCGAAGGTCCCACACTTTGCAGGTGTTATCACCACTGCCAGTTGCAATGTGGTAGCTGTGGATCAGACAGTGTCAAAGTTAGAAACAAAGGGTGCTCTCTGACCAGGGACCCTCTTGACCCCTCAATTCAGTGATTTTTATTTTTACCCATTAGGAGAGAAATGTATGCCATAGATTTCCTTCAGGTGGCCTTCTAGGAACATGATACAGCGTCCTGTGCGCAGGTCCCAAACTCGACCAAATGCATCCAGTCCCCTGATGAAATAATTTATAGATGAACACTCCGAATCCAGTTCTCTATGAAAGCAGGCATACGACAGAGCAACTACTGAGCTGTCCTTGGCTACGTGGAAGAAGCCTTACCCAGTGCCAGCCAAAGAGCCATCTTGATGGAAGGCAATGTCATACACACCCATGCTGTGGCCTTCCTGATGCAGGATCTCCTCTTGAGCCTCTAAATCCCATAAGCGCCATGAACGGTCATAGCTAAGAATAAATAAACAAAACCATACTAACAATCAAGCAGCAAATACTTACCATTTCTACAACGTATAGAGTACTATAAACAAAGGTAGGTTAACTTACACTACTGAAACTACTCGTATTAATTATAGTAACAAGAAATGTCCTTTCTAGCACCAAAGATGCCTCAACAGCTAAGCATTGCTGTCTTAGGTGCTAATCAGGAAACCATAGACTTGTTAAAAACTTTCAGTGGCTATATTTTTTTTCCTTTATGGAAGAAAGAGGCAGAGAGAAAAAGAAACATGGAAAAGGAGAGACAGGTATTTCTGACAAGGTTTGACTCTCGCTGTTGTAATCCTGCTCCAGCCTTTCAACTAGCTAGAACCACAGGCCCGTGCATTGATGCTTAGCATATCTGATTTGCCTGGGAACTAAACTTAGGGCTCCCCCATGGCTTCCAGCCCTGTAGGCACTGGTGTTATGTGTGCATCACCATGGCTGGGCCTCCAGCGACTATTTTAAGAACAGAATTCCTGAGGAATAGCCCAGCAAGGATCTTGTTGCCTTCTTTCTTCTCCCATTCCATTGTTATGTCCCTCCATTCCTCAAACACACACTTTCTAGGCCCTAAATTGGTTGCTGAGGCTACAAAAAGATCAATGGAATAGATAAGAGAGCAAAGAAAGAGACCCACACATAAATGATCAAGTGATTTTCCACACAGGTACTAAAGCAACTCCATTAATGAAATGAACCTCTTCAATTTATAGTGGTAGAACTGGCTATGTACATGGAAATAAAGAAACATGGGCAAAGCACCAGGACATCACACAAAGAGCCTATGTGAATGGTCAACAAGAACACCAAAAAGTACTCGGCACAGATAATAGTCATCAGGGCAATAAGAATTAAAACCATGAGGTATCACTACTTGACTGGGTAAAATGATATGACTAATGCTACCAAGTGTTGGAAAGGATGTGAAGCAACAGGAACTCTGTGAACATAAAATGATATAGTCTTTTGGAAAACTACTTGAGAGTTTTTAAAAAGTTAAGTATTTATCCTGTGAGCTAGCAATTGTACTCCTAGGTATCTATTTAAGAGAAAGGAAAGAAAAACGTATGTCCTCAAAAACCCTTGTACAAGAATATTTATAGCAGGTTTATTTTCACTAGCCAAAACTTAAAAGTGGTCAAGAGTCCATCAACTGGAAGAAGGGTAAACACACCATGGCTTAAGCATACCATCCCCAGCAATAAAAGAATCTCATGGGGGCCAAGCAGGTGGTACAGTGGTTAAGGCACTGGACTCCTACATGGCCAACTGTGGTTTGAATCCTGTACCTGGTGGCTTGAAAATCACACCCGGAGCATATCCTGGCGTGCCCAAAATCCCAAGAGGAGAACAGGATTGAGGCACTGCCACCCCCCATCGGAGATGATTTTTTTACCATCCCTCTCTCTGGAAAGTACAAGCATCCTACAGTAAAAACTTGGGGGGAAAAAAAAAAAAGGAACTGTTATATGCAACATGAATGATTTTTAAAAATGTTACGTGACTGAGGCCAGCAAGTGGTATGGTGGTTGAGGGCGCTGGACTCCCACATGGCTGACTGCGGTTCGAGTCCCAGACCTGGTGACTTCTTTTCTCACTTTCCTTCAATCTCTCTCTCAAATTAAAAAATAAGAATAATAATAAAGTTAAATAAAAATAATTTAAAAAAGTTATATGAGTGAAAGAAGACAGAAATAAATTCATACTGTATGAACAGATAGAATTCAGTTACTGTGATAGAAATGCGATCAATGATTGTTTCGGAGGGGAGAGTTAACTAGGAAAGGTCATTTCGGAACTTTCTGGGTTGGTACAGGTGTCTATATTGACAGGGGTATGGTGCACATGGCTGGCATGTATTTGTCAAGACTGATTCACTGTATACTTAATCTACTGTATGTAAATTATACCTCATTGAAAAGCTCTTTAAAGGATCTTGGCCTCAGTGAACTTACAGAACCAGAGACAGGGACCAATATGTTGGCAGAAACTTAGTATGATGTCTAGCAAACAACACAAAAAAACAAAATAACAAAAACTTCTGGTGCTGGTCAAGAAAGAGAAGAAAGGTTCAGCGTTGGTGTGTACTAAACCAGTGCTGGAAGCCACACGGCTGACTGAGAATTGGATTCCAAATTGACCTGAAACATGCCGGGTGTACACGTGCCCAAGATCCTGGTGAGCTGGAGGGCTGGGAAGGGAATCATGGTATTATGAGACTTGTGGAGGGTGCCTGTCTCTCTCTCATAAATAAAAAAGTCTAGTTTTCCAGCAGTTAGTGACTCTGAAATTCCAGTTTAACTGTCATTTAAAAACAAATATACTTAACCCTAACTACATTAAATTTCTTCTGATTCTGATTTACTACAGCCCAAGAAAATCCTAATTGAAGACTTCTGCTATAAAAATTTAACTGGCAGATAGCCATAAAGGGTTAACAAGATGCCACAGGCCTGTACAGATGGAATGGCAATAGGACACCTTACCACGTGGTGCCTAGGAAACGTCCCGATGGATGCCACATCACCCGGGCCACACGTACTGTATGGCCTTCAATATCTGCCACTGGTTCATCGCTGAAAAGGAACCAAATATATGCAAGAACATGATTTTTTTGACAGGTAAATATTCACTGAACTTAATAGCTCTTGTGCAGATATACCCATTCTGTACGAAGGGGCACTAAATTGCAACTTCACTTGTAATTTGTTAAAACTGTAGGGCTAACAATAATTTAAGATACTTCACAGTATTTTACAAGCTCTAGGGCTACTTTGGGGCCAGAGGGTGACACAGTGGTGCAATCCAATGCTTTGTAAGGCAGTCCCACATGGGAAGGGTCATGCTTATCCACGACTCAGGAGTGGCTGAAGGCTGGGGTGGACTGTGGCATTGGGACCATGCTGTTTCTCTTGCACTCATAAAATAAAGATATAAAACTACTTCACATGTCTACAAATGCAAAATTGTCCATAGAACTTTGATAAACACTGTCTTTTTACCTCAATTCATTGTATTAGTTATGCCATACCAATTAGAGAAAATGATACTTTAATAAGTGAAAGAGTAACTCTGTACCAAACTAGTACCTAGAATCTAGGGGAAAAAACAAAACGTATTTTGGTAGAGATGTGAGGATACAGAAATCAAACAGTTTGGTACAAGTGAATTACAGATAAATTGTTCTCAAAATTTAGCCTGTTCTATGATCCAAATGAAAAAAAAAAAAATAGAGGCGCAGTCTCCTTTTGGGGGCCATTAAATTCTGCTACCCAGCAACCGCGGAAGGAAGATCTGAAACTCCAGTGAAAGGAAATAAACATGAACCCTAAAGAGGGCAATTAAAAAGGGAACTTTGTCAATGTGCACACTTAGAACTAGCCAAAGCCCTAAGGGAGTAAATATTGCTAAGTATTACCAAAGCCAATTAAAACTTACTGTGCTCATAGATGAGACTCTGTCTGGGAAAGAGCAGAGATACTAATAAACTCTTTAAACAATCCTGAAATAAGAACCTTCAGGTGCTTTCCAAAGAAAACTAAGCGACTGAATTCAGGTGTCTTTCAGTCAACAAAGCCCTTCCAAATTTTTTTGATGGGAGAACAATGATCATAGACACATTAAAAATAAAAAACAAAAATGTTCTGTAGTTGGAAAATAAACTCCAGGTAAAGGATGCTGCTGTTGGGAGAAGACATCACTTCCTTGGCAATGCTATGAGACAGAATCTCACTTTCCTCTCCCCTGTGGCTATTTGCTAAGAATAAGCTGCCAAAGTATTATCTTAGTCAATCTGCCAAATAGTGGATTTCCCCAACATTAATCTATTGTGTAGAAGGTAGACTGGATCTTTTCAGAATAACTGAAACCAGGAAACAGTGGCCACTTTGCTAGAGGCAAAAATTGAGATCTAAAGTTAACAAACAGGTCAGAAAAACCTGGCGCAAGTCCTCTGGTGAGAAAAGGGCTAAGGAAAAAGTCTCCCTTCTATTTTCACAGTGTTTCTTTGACACTTAAAGAATCCCTGGGATTAAAAGCCAGAGTTTTACCTCTGAGGTCGGAGGGCTGGCCAATCACCCCTCTATTTTAGTAATGGCAGTAAAGATCACAGAACAGTACTAATCACCTGTCAAGGCTCCAGAGCTTCACAGAACCATCAGCAGCACAAGAGGCCAGGTTGACATCTTTTTGATCCAAGGAGACAGTGGATTTGGGATGGAATACAATTGCTCCTACGTTTGTGTTATGGCCTAAGGAGTTTAAGAGATGACAGTCAGAAGGTCCCTGCCTCTTTACAGTCAATATACAGACACAGATTATGATGGATAACACAGAAAAGGACATACTGGGGAACCTGTAGATATACAAAGTATCAAACTGACTACTGAAGGCCAGTCCCATGGCTCAGTATGGTCAATCATGGTTCGAGTCTTGGCCCATTCACCTTGAAAAATATGCCAGGTACATGTGCATTCGTGCCCCAAATCCTAATGGGATAGAGAAATGGAAGAAAAGGGATTGCAGCATGACCATGCCCTATTGGGAGATGCTTTCCCCATCTCTGGTGAGTGCACACACATCCAGTAAATAAAGAATGGCTATTTAACTATTAAAAAAATGAGGGGCAGCAGGAAGCATGGTGGTTAAGGATGCTGGACTCCCACATGGCTGACTACAGTTTGAGTCCCAGACCTGGCGACTTGCTTCTTCACTTTCTCACTCTCTCTCTTACTCTGTCCCTCTCTGGTCAAGTTAAAACAAAACAAAACAAAACAAAACCAAACCAACCAACCAAACAAAGCAGATGGCAAAATGGTTACATTGCTGGACTCCCACATAATCAACTGTGGTTTGAGTCCTGGATTTGGCAGCTTAAACTCATGTGGGCATGCCTAAAATTCCAAGAGGAGAATGGAGATGGGACTGTGGCATGGCCATCTCCCATGGGAGGGGATTTCTTGCTTTCTGTCTGTTTCTCTCTGTCTCTCTGGCAAGCGTACACACCCTATAGCAAAAATCTCTCTATAAAAACAAAAAAAACCCCTAATATTTAAATTACATTAAAAATTAAACACCCCCCCCAAGATTTGTGTTTTGCTTTTTTTTTTGGTTTAGAGCTTATAAAATGCCAGAGCATGGGCCAGCTGGAGGTGTGGTGGCTGGATCCCACCTGAGACTGTGTGGTTCTAGTCCCAGACCCAGAGGCTTGAAAACATACTGGAGGGTGGGGAGAAGCAGGGGGCATAGTGGTTAAGGCACTGTACTCCCACATGGCCGACTGCCTGGACCTGGCAGCTTGAAACTCATGCTGGGTACACAGGTATGCATGTTCAAAATTCCCGGAAGAGTGACTGTGGCGTGGTCATTCCCCTGGGGACTGATTTGTCCTCTTCCCTCTCAGTCTCTCTCCAGTGAGTGCACGTGCCCTATGGCAAAAACCTTAAAGGAAAAAGAAAGGGCCAGCAGGTGGCATGGTGGTTAAAGGCTCTGGACTCCCCACGTGGCCGACCATGGTTTGAATCTGGACTTGGCAGCTTGGTTTCTCACTTTCCCTCTCTCGCTCTGCCCCTCTTTGGTCAAATTTAATAAACAAATAAATAGTAATAAATAAATAAATAAAAATAAAGGAAAAGAAAAGAAAACAAAACATACTGGGTGTGTGTGACATGCCCAAAATCTCAAGAAAACAATTGAGGAGAAGGGATTGCAGTGTGGTCATCTCTATTAGGGGATGCTTTCTCATTTTCCTCTCTCTCCATCACACACGTGCCATAAAGCAAAAAACCAGTGACCTCAACAAAAGTGCCAGAAGTGACTACATATGAGAGAAGAGTATGCGTATGAAGTCATTCCGTTTCAACCTTGCAGCCAGAGAAAAACAAACCGAGTCAAGTTACATCAAATCAAACCACATCAAATCAAGACTTAACACTGTATGGGGCCAGCAGGTGGTGTGGTGGTTAAGGGCGCTCGACTCCCACATGGCCGACTGCGGTTCGAGTCTAGACTTGGTTGCTTGCTTTCCCACTTTCTCTCTCTCTCTCTCTCTCACTCTCTTGTTCTGTCCCTCTCTGGTCAAATTTATTTAAAAAGTAAATAAAACATTCTTTTTTAAAAGAAGAATAAACACTGTATGAACTGCATTTCAACATCAGGCAGTTTTACTGCTTAACAGACTTCACACTAGGTTAAAAACAGAAATGAGTAAGACTCTACTTACCACGCAGAGTGTGAAGGAGGTTGCAATCAGGAACAGACCAGAGCTTGCAAAGCCCACTCCTATCAAATACAAAGGAAAGCATCTCAGCCAGGATTGGTCTGGGGAGGAAAAGGTATCTTGGTAACATTACTGGCTTACAATCTGAAGGGTGACGGGAGAAAAAAATACATCCAGGTGACATGAAACTAGAGGCCTCTAATACACTATAACTAACATCATGCAAATTCTCACTCTTAACTTTTGGATCAATGTGTGAGGGAAACTACCTAATAATAATATTAATATCTTCTTGAATACGAGTAGCAATTTGTGATCTATAAAGTAATCAGTCTTTCCTTTCTTTTTGAGAGGTTTTTGCTATAGGGCGCGTGTGCTCGCCAGAAAGACAGAGAGAGACAGAGAGACAGAAAGCGAGAAATCACCCTCCAACGGGGGATGGCCACGTTGCAAGCCCCCTTCTCCTCCATTCTCCTCTTGGGATCTTGCGCACACGCGCCCAGCGTGAGTTTAAGCCACCAGGTCCGGGACTCAAACCGCAGTCATCTACATGGGAGCCCAGAAACTTAGCCATTACACTAACTGCTGGTCCCCCCCCCCTTTTTTTAAGAGAGATTTTTGCTATAGGGCACATGCACTTGTGGAGAGACAGAAAGTAAGAAATCACCCCCCAGCGAGGATGGCTACACTACAATTCTTTCTCCTTCATTCTTCTTTTTGGGCACACATGTACATGTGCCTGGCATGAGTTTTAAGCCACCTGGTCCAGGACTCAAACCACGGTCAACTACATGGGAGTCCAGAAATGAAACCATTACACCATCTGCTGGTCCCAAGTAATTACATTCTAAAAATAGACTTTTTAGGTAATTTTCCAACACATTACTTTAATATCTATTATGACAAGTGACAATTATAACAGACCCACAAGGTAGATGAGGTAGGAACAATCATTCTACTTCATAGATAAGGTAACAGGCTTGGAGAGGTGGAGTGATCTGTACAGTCCCTGGCCTTCTGAGCCTGTCTCAGTATCTGCCTAGTGAAGCAGTTCCTGCACATTCAATGTGAGGTAAGTTCTCTTTCTAACTAGACAGCCTTGCACAAAAACCAACACCAAACTAAAATGACAAAGTTAACACATCTTAGAATGAGTTTTCGGCATATGTAGTGGTAAGTAAAAAACAAAATAAAGATAAAACCAAGAATTCACATTTACAAATGGAGTCCTTACCACATACCAAGCACTATCATCAAGGCAAATATTTTATAAACATCTTCTTGCTCTACAGGTAAAGGCAGTGAAACCTATGGGAATGAAACACTTTAGCTAGGTCAGATAACCAGAAAGGAAAAGCTACACTGAGGCGTGGCTACCACGTGGTCTGTAAACTCACCACAGGCCCTGCTCCAAAACACTAGTGTCAAGAACACGATAGGCTGCCACATGCCATGGACTCTGGAGTCCCTGGTGAACGTCCAGAACAGAGGCGATACAGTATCACACAGTAGCGAGAACACTAGTTATCTGCAGTTTGGTGTGATCATGAGAGGTAGAGGAAGGGGACATGGAAATCCATATCTAAGACAAATGTTAATTTTTTTTCGGTTCTGTCCCCCATTTAGGAAAAAATATCACTGTGAAATAGCACTTACCAACAAGCTGTGGCCAGCATTTTGGAATTTGGACTAAAGTGACAGTAGGAGATGGGCCGATCATCCCCAATCTGACTGCAGAAATTATTCAAAGACTGAAAAAAAAAAAAAAAAAAGCCAAGACAA